TCTATCTATCTATCTATCTATCTATCTATCTATCTATCTATCTATCTATCTATCTATCTATCTATCTATCTATCTATCTATCTATCTATCTATGTGCATACATGCAATTACAGGAAGTTGTTAGGAAGTTGCATACATGCAATTACAACACAGCACAACACCCTGCAAACAGAAGGGCTGCAAACACACAAAGTTACACACATAAAATTGAGAAATATTTTTAATTCTCCTGTGTCAAGACCATTGATTTCACTGTGCTGCATATGACAGGGCTTGGCTTGTTTGCAGAAAGACAAAGAGAGAGAGGAGGGAGCTAATAAGAAACTGTAGGATAAAGGTGAGGTTTCATATAGACATATAGACATACAGACAGACAGAAGAAGAACAGTTTAACTCAGTCCAACACAGTACAAAGGTGAGTTGCACTTTACACACAGTTTTATTTATGAAAATAATTTGTACAGTACATTAAAACATATACATCAGGGATGCATCATAAAGCACAAGATAAAACTTTATTGATCTACTCTGGGAAATATTACGACCTTTGAGTAGAGAGCTGCTTCAGACTAATTACAGTAATGGTTTGTTTTTAGTACATTTATGATGCTTTTGGTTGGTTGTTGTCTAGTATGTGTTTTAATACTGTTTAGATTTATATTCCTACTTTTTAAGTGTAAACATTCAACAGTCGCTTCTCTTCTTCGGTTTGTTTCCCAGAATGATGAAGTTCCTCGTATTGGCTGTTGTTCTCATGCTGGTCGTGACAGGCGGTGAGTGTGATTATGGATTTCCTGTCATAAAACGTACTTTGGATCTATGATGCATTGAAATCATGCTTTCTGTACGTGTGCATTAAAAGGAGAGTTAAAAGAAGATATTTTGAAGAATGTGGGTAACCAAACGGTTGACAGTAACCATTGACTTCCATAGTATGGAAAAAAAATGGCTACCTTCAACTGTTTGGTTACCAACATTCTTCAAAATATCTTCTTTAGTGCAGATGAAGGAAACTCATACAGGCTTGGAACTTGAGGGTAAATAAATGTTGACAGAATTTAAATTTTTGGTTAACTCATGTCCCTTTAAAATATAAATGATTTAAAAAATATATGTAATATACTACCAATAAAATGCAATAGAAGACTATTGCAGGTAACCTTTACATGTAGAATCATTAAAATGAGCAAAATACAGATTAATATGTATTGCAGTTATTAGTGCATATTAGTGCATAGTGCATAGAATGAATGAATAATCTATTAACTTTAAAACCAGTGGGGTCCGAAAGTCTGGAAATACAGTAAATTAAGTTTTAGGATTTAAAAAAATGTAAAAAAATAAATAAAATTTAAAAACTATGTAAAATTAAGAACCCTGTACTGTACATCATCTTTATATATATTTCAAATAAATATATAAAAACTATTTACATTCTTTGATGTCAAAATTGGTGAGTATTGAGATCATCTATTATGCACTGAATATAACCATATGATGCATATGCTTTATGTGCTGAAATATGATTGGATACAGGAACAGAAATTAAAAATTGTTGAACTATTGCATGTATGAGGACAGGTTTTGCATTTCTGGTAGAAATTAAAATTCTGAAATTTTGAACAATTTTAAACAAAGAAATACTATAATTAAAAATATTAAAATATTAAAATATTAAAAATATTGTACTGATTATCTTCTTTGTATCACTATAAATGTCAAGTAAATATACAATTTGAAAAACAGCTAAATTCTTGTGAGCTGAACATCATAAGTCAAAATCCATGCAATAGTGTGAAGTCAAAATCAGTGTGTGATTATTGATTTCTTGTCATAAAACGGATTTCCAGATCATTCATGATGCATGAAATGTCTGAAATGTCAACACGAGAGCAGCAAAAACTCAGATTTAATATCTGTTCAAGTCATTTCGCTTTTCAAGTAAATGTCTCTTGATTTATGCATTTTTAGATAGTTGTAATGAAAAACAAGACAAAATACTAAGAAAAATCAATTAACATGGGCTTTCAGTGACAGTGCTCATAGAAAAATCTCAATAGCCAGCAAATAAAATATGGTGAACTGCAACTGACTGCCATATAATCTTTACATAACATGTTTTTATGTTACATAATTAATCACTGCTAGATCAAGTGACTGCCGTCGTTCATTTCATCTTATCAGCCAGTTAACTAATCCACGGGCAGAGCTAAATTAAACAGACATTAAAACCTTGCGCACACATGTACCTTGGACTCAGAATAAACAGCTGGTCACACTAACTGGAACATTTCAAATTCAGTAAATGAACAGATTCAGACTCTAAACAACCAGCAAAAAGTAGTTAATATCTCAAAAAATTCACATCAACAAACCTCTTACAGACAAATAATAATATGTCTCTTAGTCTCAAACCTGATATTTATCACCTGTCCCATCGGGCTCTTGGGTTCCTCAACTTCGTTTGACACAATATTGAACTTTCCTGCCAATCCTCATAATCAAAGAAAACATTTGTCATTTGTATCAAACTGTCCGTCATCTTCTCGTAAGACTCACTGCATGCAATACTGTTTAACTGACCTTTCTGACCTTTGCTTCAGTGTTAGTTTAGTATAACTGAGATAGCAACATTTCTTGTCATTTTATTGTGTTTTTGTCATATTTGTTAGTTATTGTGTTTTTAAAAAAATCAATTCATTTTTTATAAATTTTTATTTTAGTTATTTTGTACATAAAG